CTCCACGATGGAGCCACGGCAAGACAGGCTAATCCGCGATTTCTGACCCAAATTCTCCTTGTGTTCTTCAACAAAGCCTCAACATCTTGAAAATGATCATGAGCAAGGTTTCTGTCTAGACTCGGCTCTTTCCGCCAACCTATCATGTCGCGTTGGCATCAAGCCTAAGGATCCATGCTGCCCTACGACTACCTGGTGGTGGCCACAGGCGTTGGGAACTCTTATTATTCTGGTCGTTCGTGCTGTTAGCGTGTGTATTTCTATTCCTTACAGGAGATTGGTGTTAGGGTTTCGGGCATGCGGTTGGCCTTCTGCAAAAAATCCCATATCAGCACACATACGCCCCTTTGGTGTGTGCATCGTACGGTCAGTTGCTACACGGTTTCTTCGCGTCACCGGGGTTGTCCGTTAGCACATTTCACAGGAGCACAGGAGAGTATCTCAACATCGGCAGTCATGGTAATCGGCCGTAGTCGTGGATCAGCAGATGCCTTGAAGCCTCAAATCGGGAAGGTTTGCAGGACGACTCGCTGCATGCTTTGAAGATCCAGTCGATGGGAGCGGGACCCTTGGGCATGTGTGCTTTGCAGTGTACTGTACGACAGCACAGTAACACCGACATACACAGTGATTTGCGTTTCGACATACATTTCTTTTGCATAAACCTGTGTGTATATATAATTATATGTGTGTGTGAAAAAAAAAAATATATATATATATATATATAAGTACATGCAGGCATGCATACACATCCGGACAGGTACTTGTTTGTTCTCAGCCTGATTGTGCAAATTCTGACGTTGTAGAGTCCGATGTGGTCCTGCAAATATAACCCGCGTATAGAAACCCGGACCCCGGCACCGCAGTTGCCGCAAAGGCATATCAGCTTCGACCTGGGTGTTCAACTGCCGTCGGTCGTTGTATTAAATGTTACAACGATATTTCAGGCTTCGCCGTAGAGGTCCGAAGCATGGCTCAATCCCGTCCATGTTGAGGGCCTGCAACTCATCAGCCAGGATGCCTGAAAGGTTTTTTGGCGAGAGAATGTTCCACAAGTACGCCATGGTCCATCGTCTTCTCCACGGCATGCGCGTGAGCAGTCGTCATGCAACTATAGCTCACTCAACCACAATCACTCCTTGGCCTCCAGGTATTCCGCAAATCCTAGATCTGTAGCACCAACACAACCCCCAAACGCCAAGGTTGAGCATGTGACCGACGGCTACCGCCGCGTCAATGGCGCGATGTCGGCTGCAGACCCCTCCATAAGAGATTTGCCCGGCCCCTGGCATTCTGTAGAGTAGGGTTCAGGGTTCTAGGGTATAGGTTGCTGGCTTCACCCTAAACCCAAGGCCACGAACCATGAAGTTTCAACTTCGTAGCCATCCACAGAATGCCGGATACATCAGGACTCGAACAGTAACATGAGCACTGCAGGTTCGCAAGAGTGAGGGCAAGATGTTCTGGACAAGTAGTCTCTTAGCCATGTAATGCGTGAAGGGGCTTGCGAATTCGAACCAGCGTACTTCCACAAGTTCAGGCTACGGTCTTGGCGTTTCGGCGGTTACTGTTGCTAGTGCTGATGATCTAAATCCTGCAATACCCATAATAAGGAATATACCAAAAGACCCATGGTTTAGGGTCCCTAAGTAATGCAGGGTTTATATCACCCTAAACCTTAAGGTCTAAACCCGTAAACCCTAATCCCTAACAGGACTCATTTATATCATTAACAGTAGTGCCCTGGGTTCCAGCGCAATTGCCGCTCGTAGGCTGCTGCTACGAAAAGCTGCATCTGTGATGCTGAAGTCATTTGCGGCTCATGATGGGCATGGCCCTGGTATGAACAGGTCATGGATCGAAGTTATGAAACTATGCTTCTCTCATAACTTCGATTTGTTTGCAGAAACCAGGCTCGGTCGTTCGTGGGTATAGAACCCGGCCAGCATAGCCGAAATTTCCCAGGCTTGTGGAGGGTGGCACGCTCGTCAAGCAGCTCTCCCAGCCTCGAGTTTGTTTGTTCCAGGATTTCCATCCTGTCGTAAGTTGGGGGTTCAGGGCCTTCGTGTCATTCCTACAGGGCATGACATCCGGCATTTGCGCGCTTCCTTGACCCCGGCTTTTGGATTCAATTCTGCGTTTGGGAGTTCTTGTCCTGCTAAGTTGGAGATCCACGAAATCACAACAATCACCGGGGGTGCTCCGCTCTGGTCTTCTGCTGCGACATTCACGGCTCAATATAGGGCTTTACAATTCCGGTGTGCAGCGGTCCTGGTGACTTGAGTCTACACCCGCAGCATAGTTGATGCCAAGGGCGCACGATGGACCTTGTTCAATATCATAGCTATGTTCGGAGAACTGAGATCAGAGGTAGCACTTGAAGTCGTGTCGCTTGGGAACCGTCACTTGTTATCGTTGATGGTGACTGGCTGTCCCCAGCTCCAATAAGCAGCCCCGCAAAAGCAGCGAAACTTCGCGCTGGAAAACTCCGAACGTCTTTAAGAATGCAAAGGATGACTCTGCACAGGTCATTGATCTGGAACCCGCTCTCCTATGCTGTAGCCTGGAGCCCAGCACGGGGCCGCGGTGAGTATAGGTTTGGCAACTCGGGTTTCAGGGCCCAAGCCCCTGGGCGCTGACGGCACGTGAGAACCGTGAAGAGCACCTACTAAACACATGGTCTCGCTCGACCTGCACCGAGAACTGCGAATTTCGATGCCCCGCCCGAGGTCTAATATTGGCAGCATCCTCGCCATAGCCAATTCAGGTAAACGGACTCATCTGCACTTAACACTTGGTGCTACAGGTCCATAATGCTGCCACACCAAATTGCAGGACCCTTGTAATCACAATGTCTCTATACTCAATTACGCAGTTGGACTCAAAGGGGGTCCACGCTTTGAAACACCCCTATCCTCTGAATCTGTGTTTTATCTTACCTTTGTTTAGTAGGACATGGAAGAATGGTAGTACTAGTAGTTATAAGTTATAATTGTACCCCATTCCTCCATTAGGTAAGTTATTCGATTCTGAAAACCGCTGTCTCCAAGCAGCAACACACAGCTGCTGTATGACGACTGCAGTTCTCATCATGCTGACTACTTTGTGGTTGTTGCTTTACGATTGTCGTTGAGACTGTACTTCAAGTGATGATTAACTATACCACTACCACACTATTATGACTGGCAGTATCACTGCTTGAAGTATCGTCATAACCTACGACAACCATTGCTCATGCCAGCCTTATGTTCTCTGAGGTTTACGGGCGGTCCTTGAATGCCTACTGCGTGGTGCAAGGGCTCCTCCTGCGACAGGCCGCGCCCGTAATGTTGTTCCGGAGCCGGCGACGAAGAACTTCCAAGTTGTTGAACTAGTCTCACTGGGGCTTCGGTCAACTCCAGTTTCGGGCTGTTTGTGCTGGGCCGTTCGAGGGGGCAGGTGTGTCTTTCGGGGTGTATGTGCCTTCAAGCCAGGGCCAGTGCTATTGTGTGAATTGTGGCTTAGGACTTTGGGGCTTTAAGGCCAAGACCTTTGCAAACTTTGATTTGAAGCAAGCGGTTTCAACTCGGTTACATATGAGCTTGGCCGATGTTACTTAGATGGAGGTTGGCGGACACTTTGATAACTTCGTGCTTGGTTCCCTCACGATTCGCAGACAAAGCAGCTTGAGCTCCCCATTGGCCCACCAGGTGCCGGCAAAGAAGATTATCCTGGCGCATGTCTCAGCGAAGTTGTGGAAGCTTCGATCCCTCATGCTGTAACTCAAGCCGGGCATATCCTTGGCACATCGACGTTTCTGTCGTGAAGATTCGAACCCCGGATCCCTGTGTCAGCCAAAGCCTGTGCTCGAAAAGTCCTTCTTCGTGTGTAGACTTTATCATCTATATCTTTCGTTCTACATGAGCCCCCTGTAGTCGAAAGTGTGAGATTCTTGCGTATCTGGCCTACGAGCCTCTGAACTCGACAACTGCGTTGGAGCATACCTTTTGCTCAGGATTCTGCTAGTCTTAGGCTTGGGGATGTAGGGATTCTTGAGGCACATGGAGGCTCTTTGGAGGAGGTATACCTGTTCACTCCTAACTTAAAAAGCCTATCACATTCCTGCAAAGCGTCTGGCCCAGCGTGCTTGCACCCGGAAGAGCATTGAAGCCTTCATATTGATCCCTGAAACTCGAAGCCTTAAGCTTGACGGGACTCGTCTTTGAACTTCGCCGCGCGGCCCTGAGGTTCAGGGGTTCTGGGCTGTACGGGCGAAGGATCTGTAATGGCATGTCTGAAACACCCTCGAAGACGCGGAAGACTTAAGCCAACGCTGCATGCCCCAAGTATGAACGACAAACCTGTGCTCCTGTCAGGTGCTACCGGCGCGGCTCCAGGTGCTATCGGCTCGAGTTCCTCTGCTGTTGACACAGGTTTTGTGGCGCTACACCGATGCGAGCATCAGAGGATAGTAAGCATAACAACCTCATCACCACATCGTCAACAGCTGCAGCATCACCATCATCATCATCATCTTCATCCCGATCGTGCTCCTATCATCATCATCATCATCATCATCATCATCATCATCAACGCCATCATCAACGTCATCAAGAGCGGCATAACTGGAATCATCATCCGTCTCATCCAGCCAAATAACATGAAACAAGTAGATGCAAGAGTGCCAGAAAGCAACCAAAGTTGCAGACTGACTTTTCGTGCCGGTGCAGGCGCAGGCAACGGCCCAACAAGGGCTATCTGTGGACGCCTTCTACGAGGTGGAGCCCCCAACACCGAGAATTTGCGATGATCTTTGAGGAAAGCCCTGATGGTTTCATATGCCCCATCTGCAACCTCATACAACAGCATCCGAGGCAAGTAGACGCAGCAGCAGCAGCTTCTTCTTCTTCATTTCATCATCATAACCATCATCATCCTCACCAAAACACCCATCGTGCCCATATTCAACCAATGCTCAGGGCGACGAGGTGGAGAAAAAGATCCACCACATCCTCGAAACCATGGGCCTTAAGGCACGGGAAGCTGCAGGTTTGGGCCATCTGGTGTTTGGAGGCCCAGGGCTCGTGTTCCAGGTGTTTCAGAGTTTGGGAAATCCTTCCCGTCGGCCACGATGATTAGAACAGGGTTTGGGGGTATATTTTAATGGAACGAGATCGGAACTAGAAGGGTCAAAGGCATTAACCGCTAAGAGCTACCTTCTGGTCCCCTGCTCAATACGTGCCTCGTTTCTCTTACAGGGGTTGAATTGGTATCCCGTCGTTGCGGCACTTGATCCGGGATCTGATTGTACTACATAAGGGAGGCATGCGGTGCTCTCCAGACGTTCAGTGTCGGGTAAGGCTCTTATGACTACCCTACCTACGTGCAATGAACCTACTTGCACACCACCGTGATCGTGTCTGTCATGTCCTCTCAGTAGCCATCGACTTATGGACAAAACCGACACACCGAATACCGACTTGAGTGCACGATGCGCAGGTTTACGAAGGCTACCGCCTGCTGGGCATCCAGCAGTGCACGAGAGATCGCCTGCTCCTTGCCTGCAGCAAACTTATAGAGGGACGATCCCTCACCTACCATCGCAAGCAACTTAAACTTTCTGGGGCCTGCTTATTCCAACGAAAGTGCCGAAAATTTTGGGGCCTACTTAATCCAACGAACCTGAAACAGTAGGCTCTAGTTTGAGGAGCTCGGCCCGCCCTCTACTCTGTGCTTTGCTCTGCTTCAGACCCCGACTGGAAACATGGAGCCTGAGCCTCCCCCGAACCTTTCTTTCTCTAAGCGTTCTATAAGGGTTCAATGAGTGTTCTAAACCCTAAGCCCTGAAATCCTTCCGAAGCTTCAGCCCGAGAGTCTTGAAGGTTTAGTTGGGCTTTGGATTCATGGCCTAAGCTGCCCGCAACGCCCGAAACGTTTGAACCATAAAATCCTTACCCCCAAGCACCCCAAACACGTAAGGACCCATGTAAACACCCCACCCTGCAGAAACTACATTCTGAGCCATGACTCTAAGAATCGAAAGCCCGAGCCCGAAGTTTTATAGCCCCAAGCTCCGAAGTCTTTCTGGTACACCAATAACTTCCCCCAACAAGAATCGAAGCCGCGACTCTAGAAATTGTTCCCACACCGCTCAAGCCATAAGTAAACCCCAACAGCACAAGCCCAAACTTGGAAGCCCCATAGCCTCAACCCTTAAGAGTGATGCATAGGGAATCCCAGCACGATTTGTCCCTAATCCGGTTTCCAACTTTTTGGGGTTTACTATACTGCCCCTGAGGCTCTAAGGACCCTAAACCCTAAACCCTAAAACCGAAACCCTAAACCCTAAACCCTCAAGGAAGGGCCTCATCCTGGAGGATCAGAACGGTGGGTGCCGGGCCAAGGGGTCTGAGATTTCGTCAGTTGGAGGTTCTCCACATCGGGGTGACTTCGGGGTCCTTGCAAACAGGATCCTACATGACCCTCAATAGTAGGTTCATTTTAGGCTGAGTTTTGATGATGTTGGGAAGTTTGTCGGGTGTTTTTTAGTGCTTTTCAGGTTCTGCAAGGCCCACCCCTGGAATGTGCTGTTGAGGGGTTCGCTAAATTACACAACAGAAGGGACGGGATGTAGACCTCGAAGTATCGGGATCTTCACTGCAAGGGACTCCTTCTGTTGCGGATCCGGAAGTCTCAGAACCCTACTTGGAGGATCAATGGGGCTTAGTAACTAAGGTTATATGTACCTTTATTGGGGCTACAAGTAGATATAAGTAGAGTTACTCTAATTATAACCCTAGGTCCTAAGTCCCATGATCCTTTAAGTAAGGGCATAGGGTTCCCTTAAAAAGGGGTCCTTTAACAAGGGATCTACAGTAGGATCCTTTAAGGTACAGCAGTTCGCGTAAGTCTTTTGGACTCCGAGGCTCCGGGCTCCGAGGCTCCAAAGGCTGACTTCCCAGACCCCCTTAGGGGAGGATCCCAAGAAGTAGATCCCTTAATGGGGGTTCCTTTAAGGGATCTATAGGGTTTTAGGGTTTAGGGCTTGGGGGGAGGATCTAGAAAGTAGATCCCTTAATGGGGATTCCTATATAAGGTACCCTTAGTAATATAGGGCCCCAAATTTAGAGGATTCCCCTAATTTGCGGCCCTATACTACTAAGGGTACCGTGTACAGGAATCCCCATTAAGGGATCTACTTTTTGGATCCTCCAAAGGGGGTCTGGGTTGTGACCTGCCCGAAAGAAAGGCTCGGATCTGAAAACCTCCCTTGTCGCAGAGCAGTCCTCAAGGTTTCAAGTGGGAGTTTCCGAAAATAGGGGACCCTAATATAGTACCCTAAGTAGTAGGATCCTTGTTATAAGGACCCCAAAATAAGGTACTAATTTTCGGAACTCCCAAATGCAGAAAAGCCCAACAGCGGCGCCAGACCACCTCGCAGCTCCCAAAATCACCTGAAGACCCTACAATCCTACAACCCTGAAGCCTGACCTGAAGTGGCGCGTCGGCAGACGATTTGATTTCCCTCATGGCCCCCCCCTAAGCCGGAACCAACCCCCATAGTTTTCCTACTCAGAAGAAGCCCTACAGCCCAAGCCCTAAACCTAAACCCTTATAGTACCCTTAAAGAGCCATTTACAGGAACCCTTTTATCTAAACCCCAAACCTTTAAACCCTAAACCCCTAAACCCAAACCATCCCAAACCCTCAACCTCAAACCCTTAAACCCTAAACCGCTAAACCCGAAACTCCTAAACCCTAAAACCCGAAACTGCTAAATCGAATCTAACCCACGAGACCCTAAACCCCGAAACGCCTAAACCCTGAACCCAAAACTGCTAAACCCTAAACCCTAAAGGGTTATGGGACCGTGGACCATTATTGAATTATTGGGGATTATATAGGGGCTACGATGGGGATCCCAAACCCGAAGCTGCTAAACCCTAAACCCAGGGAAGTCGCACCTCGGCCGGCAGAAGAGCTGGCGGCCGCAGAGCGCGAGCGGGAGAAGAGGTGAGCACTCTGTCTTTGCCCTCGGTTTAAGGGTTTATGGGTTGAGGGTTTGAGGGTTTAGGGTTTTAGGGTTTTAGGGTTTGGGCTCGTTTTTGAAGGGTCGGTTTCGGGTTAATGTTGTTACTGGGAAGCGGTATTGTTGTAAGCACGTCAACTACATTGATTGTTGTAAGCGTTGTTACTACACTGGTAAGCATTCTTAGTATTATGTTAAATACATTGCGACTTGTTCTGAATGCTTGGGTAAGTCTGTCAATCAGATCGTGATCCAGGAAATGTTAAGAACATAACCTTTCTGCGGAAAACGACTTAAAGAAATAACGCCTATAATTATTCACAGGGAAATGTTCAATCAAAAAGAACAGGAAGGATGACATAATAGATAACTTCTTGGATGTTGTCAAGGTTCGACTACTTCAGGGAACTCAAGATGCAAGGATTGTAAAAAACACGAACGTTATTCCACTCTATACGAATTGCCACTACAAGAAAACTTTACTAATGATATTTATGGCTGTGCTTAATTGTGCCGCGATTGTCAAAAACGCCAGTTCAAGAAGGAGAGGATAGAGGGAATCATCAGACGTAATCTACTACACGAAGATGATATAGATAGACCTATCTTCTCAATTGCACATAACTCTCCCAATTGCGACTGGGTGAAATATGATATGTTCAAGAATTTGTCAAAAAGAAGATATGAAAGGTTCAGATGGATATATGAAGGTTGGATGATTAGTAAAAAATGTTGATATTCATCGTAAGATAAACGAGTTTGGTTTTAATCCAGGCATAGTTATTAGGACTTTAACAAAATTGTTCGAACTCTTACGAATAAACCTGAGTTTGTCTTCATGATTAAACAACCTAGCCAGCATACTTATAGTGTAATTCTAATACACAAGCAGTTATATATTATAACCACAGCATAGTTATAACATATGGGACAATCCGAGAAGCCAAAGCTTGAGCTAACCCTTAACCCTAAACCCTGAACCAAATTCTACAAGAAACCCCTTACCTAATTTGGGCTACGGCACCTAGGTGGATACGGGGATTGGGAATAAGATAATTTCTTAACATAGATATTTCTGCTGGTGGGGTAGGTGGTGCCGGTAGCCGAGAACAGGCAAGGTATGTTCTAACTTATTAACACCGGAAACGATGCCAAAAACATGTCTTTGCCAGGTTCCCTGCTCCCGAGGCCGCCCGGGCGCCCATGGGCATCATGGAGGCAGCCGAGGGTTTTGTCGGTGAGGGCTCGTTTTTTTGCAGGGTGCTACGATTTGGAATCAATCGTGGGCTCCCTTACAGTTTCGGAATGGAGGTTTAGGGCTTAAGGTGTTCATACTGGTTTCAGCCTCTTTTCAAGTTTGGGACCTGGGGTGTTAGGGTTCGGGACTCTCGGGTTTGGGGTGCTGGGTTGGTGTGTGGGGTTGAGGCTTTATGGCTCATGATTGGGAGTCTATGGTTTTACGATTCAAAGCGGAGTTTCTGAGGAGAACAACAGTCCCAGTTGCGGCATGAAGAAGGACCGCCAGAAGCAGCAAGATACTGGTAAAGGCAGTACAATCATCTACGGACCAGGTTCACGGACTTTGCATAAGTGACAGATGAGCAGGAGAAGCCGCAAAGACAACTGCAGCTAAGCCTCGATGTGTTGAGGGTTTAGGTGTTTAGGGTTTAGGGGTTTAGGGTTAAGGGTTTAGGGTTTAGGCATAGGGTTTAGGGATTTAGGGTACAGGGTTTAGTGCTAGTGCGATTGGGTAGATTTTCTGGGTGGGACTTGAATGACCCAGACGTTTCACTATTTCGACTACAGCGCTCTACACGCCCGCACGTAGAGCGCCAACTGATGTATTTTGGCTTGCTGATTGTTTACTGGGCTTCCCCAGAGGCCTGTGCATTGCAGGGTTCCAGGCTCTTCAAGACTATATCGCAAAGCCTTCACTGAGTCATCATTCGTGCCTTTTTCTGTCTCTGTGCTTCGTGACTCCTGTCGCCGAGGAAGGTGCTTCCAGGTGCGGCCTGTGTGGAAGGTAAGAAGTTCGACTTTTTGCCACACTCTTCGTAAGGGGTGTAGTTTACACTAAGTTACGATTACAGGGATCTGTAGCAAGTAGTATGATCTCCTTTTACGGTATCTTGAGCTATGTTCCCTACAGGTTCACAAAACCCCAACTCACGAATTGCAGAGCCACTCTGTGCGCTGACCAGGATTTCGGGGCCAGTCCGGCCGGCCTGCCGCAGAAGGCGCCCAGCAGAAAGCTTGGGCTGTAGAAGCCGTACACACCGGGCCTGGGCCCGAAACCCTTACACATAATGCTCGCGGCCTTTATCACTACGTAGAACTGGGTTTTTGGGAGGGGGAGGGGGAGGAAGGTATCCTCGAGTTTTAGAAGGGGCATACAGGGACCGAGATGGAATATTCGGGTTTAGGGTTGACGGGCAGAAGCATGACATGACCTCTAAATCCGTATGTTGAATTTACACGTAAACACTCCGTGTTGCGAGGTAGGCCGCTGGGATGTGACTTTAGACACCCGTCATGGCTTCCAAGACTGTCTTATTTACGACAGCGGATCACCAACAGCCAACTGTAGCAGCCTCCGTCTCTTCAATCCGCAACTCCTCAGCCGTTTCATCCCTGCTGCCAGCTTTTGGCCTGCCGGCTGTGCATCACCGCCGACGCGCTCAACGTCGACCCCGACATTTTCAACTCGGTGTTGGTCTCGAGGAAAGGGCCCAGGGTTCACAAATGAAAAGCGAGTGTCGGAGTCTGAAATATTTGAAGTGGCTCGCCTGAAATAAACTGTTCATGCATAAGAGTAAGAGGTCTACCAGGCTGCTGCATGCCCGAAACCCGATTTAGCCCTTGTATAAATCTTCTGGCATCACATAGGAGGCCACCCCATCATCCCGGGATTCAGGCTGATGAAGGACACCACTTTCAGGATACCCACTATGATTACCCCCAAACCTGAACCCTGTAATTTAGGGATGCTGATAATGTCCGAGCCACAAATCCCTCAGCAACGAACAAGCTCACGCCACCGCTTGAGGTCCATGGAAATGGCCTCGTCTACGACGGCACGGGGCCCTGGCTCCCGTGAAGCCTTGGTCTTGCGGGGCAAGATGCTGCTTCCCTTTTAAGTATTCGCCTGGCGGGATTAAGAGGCCCTAATGAGGATTATCAAGAATTCAGGTTTATGTTCCACAGTGCCGTGCATAGGGGGGGTGCGTCTTAGGGCGTAGGGATGTACTGCTGGGTTTCTGTATAGGAGCATCCTGCAAGCGAGAAAAGACGGAAGAACTTAGGGTGCATGTTCATCTAGCGAAAAGGGTCGGAATACTTGCGAATACTATTCCCTTGTAGTCCTTTTTCAGGTTATACTATGATCTACCCTAAGCCCTGTTCTAATTGTTAAGAACCCTGTATTGCCACCAATCCAGGCCCATCCAAGGGGCCACCTATTGCTACTACACTTACTACACCCATCTGGCGATCAGCCGCAACCACCCCGACCCTTGGCAGAACAAGCCATCTGAAGTCCAGCCTACAAATCGTTAAGCCAGACGAAGCCCAAAATCCTTAAAAGCCTTCAAACTTGCCTTTGGCTAGTAGGGAATGGAGGAATGGGGTACAATTAAAACTACAATTACTACCATTCTTCCATTTCCTACTAACCAGAGGTAAGTTAAAAAAGCCCTCAAAACCCCAAAACCCCTCCAAGCCTCGAGCCTCCAAAAGGCCGGCTGATCGTGGACCACAACTTCTGCTCCACAGATCCTGGCATCTTCGGGGTGGGACCGGCCTGGAAGATTTCAGGGCTCAGCCTTTCATGTCATGTACTTGGAGGATCATGGGACTTAGTAGGTAAGGTGATAGTTGGAATGGGGTTTAGGGTTCAGGGTTAGGGGGGCACCCTCGTAACTTGAATAGAGCGCAGGTGGGTCACTTACAAACCGATCCCCGATGTCTAGTTGGGGTGTGTGTCATGGTATGGTGGTTTTAGAGGGGGACTCTCTGTCAGGGAATATGATTACGCAGCCGTGATAAGAAATTTACATGGGGAACAGACGGGGGTATTGCGAGTTTCCAGACCTCTGATGCATCTTTGCAGCGTGGAGTCGTTCGCAAACCCCGAGCTCTGAAGCGTTGCGGCCACTGTCCACTTTCTCAGTGGTGGCCAGGAACTTTTGTGCAAACCCCGAAATCCTAATGAGCCCTTCACAGCGCTAAACCCTTCAAAACTCTGACCCTGAAACCCCAAAGTAATCCTTGACTCCCAAACCCTTAACCCTGAAGTCCCAAACTAATCCTAAAGCCTTAACCGCCTTTACCCTGAAGCCCCAAACTCGCCACGCTTGCCAGGCCGGCTCCCTTTGCGAGTTCAGCCGCCGCTTCCAGCGGAAGGATGCTGCGTTGGCCCGGCCTGGCCTTGGTTTCGAGCCATTATTATATACTTAAGTTTAAGTCTGAGTGTGTGTGTGTGTGTGTATATATATAGTAATAAAATACTGTTTTTTGTGATTGGCTCTGCACGGTTCCTTTACCTGGGGCCTCCGATTCTTCGGCAGGGTTCCATACGATCCTGTAGAATGGGGAGGAGGGTCATCAGGTTTTCTGGAGCAGCACGAGGTTTTGTAGGTTCTATAAGGCCTTGTAGCAGTTTATAGTTGGAATTTGTTTGATTATAGGAGGGTTGATGGAGATTCTTGTATGGCTTTATCAGAGTTGTTGGTGCGATTGATCTGCAGATTCATGTATGCAGGTTTCTTGTTTCATCTGCTTGGTTGTTCAATCATTCGAGTTGTCGATGGCAGCTTCTGTTTGCATTTATCTGCATACACAGGTCCCGAAAGCCCTACACTTTGCCTGAGCCCAGACATGATCTATTTGGTTCTGAGCCTTGAGGCCGGTGGACTTACCCTGCCCAGCGAGGCTCCAGGCAGTCTCAAGTTGCATCACAAGATGCAGCGATCCCAAACCGTAAATGTAGGGGCCTTAATAATTAGAATACGGTTTTGGGGCCCATTATCCTATAATTATAATAAGGACCCCCCCCCAAAAAAAAAACAGTATTGGTAATTATTGAGGCCCCTATAGAAAGCCTAGTGACTGTGCCTCCCCAGCATCCAAGCAGAGCTTGGCCAGGCGATACCTGAGACATGATGGCTTCAATGGGCGTGAGGCGGGGGCTATGATGTTTGCATACTTCTTTGATAGCTTTGCCAATCTGAGTCTGTCACTTTAGAGCTCATGTCTCAAAGTCGAAAACGGCATCCCGGAAATTCGGGTGCCTCACAAGGACAGGGTGCTTAGGTACTATCAGACTTCGCACCGGCCGTTGCCACTGTAGATAGAATAGAAGCCTCAGGCAATGTGCCTAGACGGGCCTCCAAAGTCGTACGTTCAGCGGATGTCGAAACTCAAGACTCTGAATCCTGACTTCCATCCGTGAGTATCCGCTTCAACCCAAAACCCTTGAAACTGCAAGTATTGCCGGGGACAATGAAGCAGCAGCTCCGTGCAGATTGCGGGGGGGTGAGAGCTTCGAGGTCTGCGGTTGAAGATTGTGGCATGAAAGTTGAGTAAATGCATTCCTGAACCCTAAACCCCTAAACCCTAAAACCCAGAACCCGAAACCCTAAAACCCTTATCGACCTGGCAGCTGCAGGTCGGTGGTAAGCTCGCCACCGCCTTGCTCAAGAAGCTGGATCCTGCTCCTGGGCCGCCGAAAAGTAAAGCTTTAGAGTTTAGGGGTGTCGGGTGTTGGGGGTTTACAGTTTCAGGGTTTCGGGTTTGGGTTTCGGGTTTCAGGGTTTACAATTTTAGGGTTTCGGGTTTTGGGTGCCCCTTGGCTTGGTACTCGCAGTTTGTGCGTAGTTGGGTTGAGATGGTGAATACGTTGTGGGGTGCCGGGCTGAGGGGGCTTTGGAACGGCACTGTGCCCTATAGCTTATAACCACGAGCGAGGTCCCTAGTGCCGTGTCAGCCGCGATGGCATCAGGCCCACACTGGCGTCGTCGCAAGCCAGGCTGGCAAGCCGTCCACCAAAAGACCCGTCTTTCTGCGCCGCTCTCTCCATGGGGGTGCCAAGAAGGCCCCACCCCAGCCACGACGGGCCACTGCTGAGAAGAAGGTTCAGACGGAGATCGAAGAGAACACCCAGGCTGCCAAGCCCGGGGTTGCTGGAAGCCAGGAGTTCTGGAAGCGAGGCTTCGAACACAATGTCGGGGAAGCAACGGAGGCCAAGGGCCGAGACCACTTCGAGGATCTCTTTAAAGGCCTCACTTGTAAGCCGGCAGCAGCACCAGCATACCTTGCAGCCCAGAAAACAGCCCTTGCCTACTATGCTTGCCCTAGGATGTTACTGTAGCCCAGCATACACTGTTTGCACACACCTGATGTACAAAACCCCAGCTCCTTCTAAAGGGTCTTCATATCAGCATGCCTTTATAATCCCTGTTACGGGTGGATGTGTTTTTGTGCATTGCATTTTTGGGCGGGTCTACATAATAAAAATCCCTCTATATAGGATCTGCCAAAAGGGCTTGTTGAATATTGTCTCAGACTGCCCTGCTAAAGACCCTTAGGCCTTCAAGCCTCATCGGCCTAAAGACCCCGCCCTTAAACGTGAAGGCTTGTAGCACAGAAGACAAGCTAAACCCCTGAAAGAAACAACCGCGGCAATCCCCCAGGTGAATGGCGACTCGGTCGCGGCCGGTGGACCTTCCGTCAACACCGGCAGCACTGTGTCGGGCCCTCAGGAGCTCAGCATATTGGAAGGGTTTAGGGATCAGGGAAACTATGGTTTTACGGATTCGGCTTTTAAGGTTTGGGGCTTTTGGGGTTCGGGGTTCAGAGTTTGGGATGCCTGCGGGTTCAGGCTTTCGGATTTTAGGGTCTATAATTTTCGGGGACTTGGTAAGCACCATGCTCAAAGTTTGGGAATTTTAGGCTGTCGGGCCAGTATGTGCAATGTCTAGCGGTTTGGTAGTGGCTGGGTTTGGAACTAAGGCGGCTGTGTCTGTGAGCAGAGCTCTTCTGCTTCGGGACTCTAGGTAGGAGTTTCCGAAAATTAGGGGTACCGTATTTGGGGTCCTTATAGTAAGGATCCTACTATTTAAAGTACTATCTTGGGATCCCTATTTTCGGAAACTCCCATGTATACACAGCTTCGTTGAGTGTCAACAAACCCTGCAGCGTCGCTACAAGAGCAACGAGGTTGCTACCCGGTCCAAAACCAATAGCAGCCCCTTCCCTTTTCCAGGAAAGCATTCAACTCAAGATGTTCTGACAGAACCGTGGATCGTTATATTGTAGCTCCCGTGTAGCCCGCCCAGACACAAGTTTCAAAAGACACGGGATCCAATAGGTTTAGACGCTGCATAGTAGGATCAATCATACAAAGACGCGGAGGTCTGAGAAACAAGCCCAGAAACACTACAGAGAGTCAGACAGCTTGGCAGTCTGCATGGTGCAGGCACGACCCGGGCTCTACCGGCGGTGTCATGCCACCTCGCCACGTTTGGTGAAATTGTTGGAGGTCCGTCGGAAATTTTCCTTAGAGCAGCTCTAGCTGCTGGGGCTCTGATAGGAAGCCAAAGCATTACGCATTGTCCATCACCCGTTTTGCAAAGCTCGTTCCGACTGTTTGAATCGCTCGCAACTTGTGCGGTTTTGCTTGAAGTTTTTGTTCTGGAGTCGCAGCCTCTTCCCACGACGGGACCGTTGTGGTGTGCCAGGAATCATGTTGCTGCCTCTTTGCAGTCAGGTTCCGCACCGCAGCAGCTCGAAGCCAGTGGCGACTGCTTCTTTTATGTTGTTTGCCGGTAGTGTGCCCGCACACCTATAATATAGATTCACGCCAATATGGATTCGCATTGCATGTAGCTTTGTACGCAAAAGACAACGGGCACGAGATCACCGCGTAGTTTTGTGCTCTTTGCCATGTCGGACAGCGAGACGGAGTTGGTGCCTACATTGGCTGATGCCTATCGCGCGGCTTTCGAGACTCCACGCAAAGCGGTATATTGTACGGAAGTTTTTACATTTCATACTACTTTAACATATCCTACGGTATTATGCAAGTCTGCGTTGGAATAGCTGTTGGGTTTTCAGTTATGCTTTGGTTTGTTTCGACTAGTTTGCCAAGAGACAAGATTTACTCCTTACCCGCCGTGCGTAGACGAAAGTCGGGAAAAATCTGTCACACGTATGAGAAGCCAGACTGGGAAACGCATGTTGAACTGGTCGGTCTTAACTTCGCGTGCTGAACATACTTCGCAAAGCTAAAGACAGTAGGCAACGTTATTCCAAACTGGATCCTCCTCCACACCTGTGCCAGAGGATCACCTTGAAGAGCAGGGCCTTGATGACCCCGGTATCTGGGCTCTTGATGACCCTCTACCGGGTGAAACTCCCTTGGCACAGCTGCTGGTACTCTTGGATCTGAATGGAATTCTGGTCCGATGCCCTCCGCTGGCAAAACGACTCCGGTGTCCAGACCAGCATGTCGTCGAGATCCAGCGCGAGCCAGGCGATAATGGTATCGGTTCCTGGGCCTACACCCGTCCGGAAGAGGTTCGCAGGCTTGTCGATTTTCTGACTGAGCTCCCCATACAATGGGGGATTTACACCACGATGACTCGCGAGAATGCGTGTAGAGTTCTGCGCCACGTGTTTCGGAGCGCTGGCCTTCCAATCACGGCTCCAACGGCTCCAGAAGAAAAAAGATTGCAACATGCACATCCAGCTGGCCGCAAATGGATTTGGTTCTTTACGCAGGAGGACCACCACGAATATGATCCGAACAGCCCACCCTTTCCTGGGCATGAGCGGCATGAAGGGAATAAAAAGCTCCCAACAAAGCTGACAGCAAAGATACAAGGGGTTAATTCCGGGCACGGGCAGTCGCTTCTGACCGCAGGAGTCGTTAGCGACGTCCAGGAATACCTGGATGCTCAAGGGTTTGAGTCTCGAGTGTGCCCCATGCTCGTATGTGCTGCACCGAAGAAAACCAAGTTGATTCGGGGCCTGAACCTTCTGATCGAAGACTACGATGACGAGGCGGTGGAAGCCGGCAAGAACACTGGGCTAGAGAGGGTCGAGACTGCTGTCAGCTTGGCCCTCCGGAACCTGAATGCTGTTGGGACTCTGCTGATAGAGGCCAACACAGCTTTCCTCTTCAGAAGAAGGCTGTGTGGGCTCACGGTTCCACAGCACATGAAGGATTACAGGGTAGACTCTCAAAACCATGACAACACGAACCCGGACATGTACAAGCTGATCGATTCCAAGATTCTGGACTTTCTGGATCCCTTCTCAAGTGCAGGAGCCGACTGATGGCAAGAGTCCGTACTTCTTGGATGCCCTCTGAAGTCCAGATCTTGCGAGCTGCATGTGAAAGGTCAAAACCATCTTCCTACATAGAAAAGTCAGGCCTGCATGGTGCATGGGCTGGATGCACGAACCTTCCTAAACTCCTAAACCCTGTAAAGTTTTCAGACCCTGAAGTGCTGTGAAAGGGAAGCCAAAAGCTGTACTCTAACTCCTCTCGGTGAGTTCGGTAATTAAACGAGCCCTAATAGTTCCCTACATTATTCCGCTTTCTTATGCTTCTCAAGGCCCCTTAACAAGCCTTAATGGTTGCCTACATTATTCCGCTTTCTTATGATTCTCAAGGCCCCCATCCTTAGAGTCACCGAAACCATCTGGAAATTTGCTGGCCAGGATGACTCCGGAGGAGGTGCTCTTGCCTTTAGTCGAGGGTTCTTGCGTGGCGTATCCACCTAATACCCGGTATCGAGGCCGAAGTAGTTCGTAATACAATCCCCGTATTATAGTCCCGATATAACTGTAGTATGTTGTCCCCCAAACCCTATGTTAAGCACGACAGAAAGCCCTCACATTGGCTCGGCTTCAGCTTGTGGATGTTGCAGGTGGGCATGGGAAGCTTCAGAAAGTCATCAGCGTTTCTTCCATCAGAACCAGCGAAACGAACGACATTCCCAGATCTCCTTAGCAAAGGTCTTGGAGGGATCCTTTTCCTTCCGGCATAGAGGTACCGGACTACACAACACGAAGACTCATGGCCTGCTCCGATCACCCTTCATTCCAATGGTAAAAGGAGGGACCCTTAATGAGGACCCCTAGGTATATACCCTTAATATAGCTATTATTTACCCATTCTATAGCCCATTATAGGGTAGGGGTCACAATTAAGGGTCCCTCCTTTTCCCCCTTTGATTCAGGATGAACCATCCACGTCCTGTAAGACTGTGACTCACAGATTCCCTTTTCGCGGCGCATGCGGCCCTCAATATTGACAAAAAGCCACAAGGAGGTACATCTGCGGAGCAATGGTGCATCCAATGATGTATGATACATCTATACATATAGCATATATGGGAGTTTCCGAAAATTAGGGGTCCTTATAATCAGGATCCTACTATTTAGGGTACTATATTAGGGTCCCCTGTTTGCGGAAACTCCCATATGCAAAGATAGGTAGATACGGTACAGTATCGGCTCGTCATCCGGCTCGAAGTTCTAAGCCACGCACTCGGGAAACCCACTTCAGCTCGACCCAGTTACAGGCAGTCATGACATCTATCTTCAAGTCTGTCGAACAGTCTTGCTTCCGAAGGCAGGACCTTTAATAATGCCGAGATAGCAGCAAAAGATACAGCCCTAAGCCGTAAATCCTTCAAATCCTATAACACTGAAGAGGGATACCGTGGCAAGACATACAATAATATTGGCGTCTACGTATGTAAGCGTGTGGGTATGTATATACGTACGTACATATATATAGATAGATAGATACAGATAGATACTTGTATGTATGTATGCATGTATGTATGTATGTATGTGTGTATCTGTATGTGTATGTGTATTTGTATGTCTATGTGTGTATATGTATATGTACATATGTGTGCGTGTATACATACGTGCATGTGTGTGTGTGTGTGTGTGTGTGTGTGTGTGTGTGTGTGTGTGTGTGTGTGTGTGTGTGTGTGTGTGTGTGTGTGTGTGTGTGTGTGTGTGTGTGTGTGTGTGTGTGTGTGTGTGTGTGTGTGTGTGTGTGTGTGTGTGTGTGTGTGTGTGTGTGTGTGTGTGTGTGTGTGTGTGTGTGTGTGTGTGTGTGTGTGTGTGTGTGTGTGTGTGTGTGTGTGTGTGTGTGTGTGTGTGTGTGTGTGTGTGTGTGTGTGTGTGTGTGTGTGTGTGTGTGTGTGTGTGTGTGTGTGTGTGTGTGTGTGTGTGTGTGTGTGTGTGTGTGTGTGTGTGTGTGTGTGTGTGTGTGTGTGTGTGTGTGTGTGTGTGTGTGTGTGTGTGTGTGTGTGTGTGTGTGTGTGTGTGTGTGTGTGTGTGTGTGTGTGTGTGTGTGTGTGAATTTCACAAAAATTGATGCATTCGTTTTGTGACTTGCAGTTCTTTCTTGGACGGTTTATCTAGAAACGGATACATCCTTACGTGTCCGTATTGTATACACAACATCATAGCCACTGTGATCCTGGCGAGGAGGCATCGCCGGACCTACTGCCCGAGTTCTACATGCTCGACTCTCAAATTTTGGAAGAGGGCTTGCTTTGAGGATGAGGAGACCTCGTAATTGGGCCCTTAGCTCTGCTAGACACACGCAGAAATCGAAGTGCCTCAACCAGCTTCTAATCATGCGAGAGTGTTTTTCGAAGGTTCCTGTTTTCCTGGCATGAAGGTGCCCGAAATCCCAGACTTCAACAGAGTGTCAGGCAAGGTGATGTTAAAACCGTGAACCCTGAATCTCTGAATCCTTTGTGCTGGCTTTTGTCCTGATATGCTCAACTCTACACCCTGCGTAAAGCCAGGGTTTGGTACTTTCGGATTTGGGTTGAGCAGGTTGCGGTTTTAAGGTTTAGGTTTAGGGCTCAGGAGATTTTCTGTGGCTTGGCAAAGTTCTGCCTTGGTTGCTCGAAGGATTGAGGGACCTGCTGACGAATTCTCGTCAGTCTTGGGGCTACCACGCTTTTAACTCACTTACGCCACCTGATACTCCAAGTAGACTACACAGTATGGATAAGGTGGAGTGTTCGGCATTGGCACGGTCCTACGTAGGAGTTGGCAAGTTGCGCCCCGCAGTACTACCCCCAGCATGTCATTCTTCATGCGCCGGTTGGCCCGTACATCCCCCCAGGAAGGAATGTTTATTTGCTCACAGGCCCAAGGACCAAGGATAGATAGAAGCAAAAAACACCAGGCCGATCGCGAAGGGAGGTCTCTTACCGGGAAATCTCCACTACTATAGCCGGGTGCTGAGAGGGAGCTGCAGGGAGATTCATGATCATCGCTGTAGGTTCAGGGTTGTCCTTCAGAAACGATGCTCCTGTTCTCGGCTGCTGATGGTTGAAAGACTGGAGCACCTTGCATGCAGCGGTTTAGGATTTGTGCTTTCATTCAGAACTTGTTGCAAAGAGAACACACTACTGCCGCAAACTTGGGGAGAAGAAAGTCCAAAGCATGTGGAGGTGTTCTAGAGTTGCCGGCAGACTGTTTTGCCTCTTGAAGACTACGAGCATCTTGATTTGAGGCATTAGGAGTGTGATTCTTCGTTTCTGCGCGAGTGCCCTTGCGATGGAGCTGAAGCCTATACACTACAAGTATTCCATGCGCATGGCACTGCTGACATTGAAGCCTGGCTGGACCAAGTATATAACGCATATTCTGTTGTGTGTGTAAATATATATATATATATATATATACGTGTAGGAATACCTTCTCCACGACTTCCGGGCAAGCGTGAAAGCACTGGACAAGTATTCGAAGAGAGCCGCTAACCAGGAATTCATGCCTGTCGGCGCGGCGACGTGCAGGCCTTTCGTTTGGTTCTATCTCCAGAACGACAAGTCACAGCAGATAGGAGTTTCAAGAATGCAGAAGCCCTTCATGCACCCAAAGCCCAGGGGGATCCTCAATTCAAGGAAGCTGTACAAAGGGACCCTTGGTTTTACAAATTTCCCTGATGCAGAAAGCAGATTCACACTCTCCCGAATAGCAGCCACCCTGGTGCGTGGGGAATCGTAGTTCTGCCACTTTACAGCAGTCAGGATTCGCTCTGCGCAGCTCGAAGCTATTTGCCACTGCTTGTGCTGTTTATCGGCATAAGGCGTATGCACCCGGATTCTAGCGAAGCCTTCATACGAGTTGGAGCAAGTTTTCAGGTTCAAGCTTTCAAAGGATGAGCCTGGGCCAGTAGAGGCTCTAGGATGGCCAAAGTCGGCTCAACTCCAGGTAGGTGGGAGTTTCCGAAAATTAGGGGGTACCCTATTTTGGGGTCCTTATAAAGAGGATCCTACTTTTTGAGGTACTTTTTTTAGGGTCCCCTATTTTCGGAAACTCCCAGGTTTTGTAGGGTGTAGGGGGTGACGGCTTGGGTACGGGGTCTCAGTGTTTTCTCGACCTGACCCGGTCTCTTCCAGGTTTGCCACTTTTACAATCGTATGCAAGGGATGGCTTGCCGGTAGCCCTGCCCCACCCCTCCGCATGCAGGCAGAACCGACTGAGCAGAAGGAAGAGCAGGTGATAGTCATGGCCTGAGCTTCCCGAAAAACGGAAGCCCAAGCGACACTCAGGGCTTCAGGCTTGGAGAAAGCGTACGAGTGGCACATGCCCCATCAGCCTCCCCACAATACAGCGTGACTCCTTCCGGTACCTTTGGAAATGCAGCGCGGCCTGGGAGATGAGAATAGTGTCAGGTGGGCATACCAAGATTCCAGAGTCCCAGGCTCTACCTGAAGCGGGCTATTGCCAGCAGCTCTAGCACAAGCGGCGTTGTATTGTGGCTCTTACTACGAGCACTACGGTAAATGTTGTTGATGCTGCCACAGCAACAGACCTCTATTCTTGCGAGAAAGCTCACTCCAACATCCCCAAGTCTCGGAAGAATCGAAGAAGCCGGGAACCCAGGTGACAGACACGCTGGACCTCAGCAATGGCAAGGGCCACTTCTGTACGGACCTCGAAGATGTCTCGTCGGCAGAAAGTCTGCGCACTGGCTAATTCTCCGGCTGGTGTCGTAGAGTCTTGCCATGGATGTGTCGTTGGCTGAGATCGTGCATGTAGCGCTACAATGCGATACGTTTCACTTTCGAAATGCACAGGCCGAAGAAGCCATTTCTCCCATTCCTCCAATGGAATGATCCAGAGACATAGTGAGTAGGCTATATATACTTGGATCCGCATTCACTTTTCCCAAAGACCGCTTCGAGTAGACTCCACTTCCATCGCCGACCTCGACCCTCCCTCTGAGTTTAAGAGCTATTCCCCTGACCTCAAGATACGCCCCGAATACTACGACGCCAGGATGA